GTACGTGTATTAAATAAAAATTATGTTACTTTTTTCATTCTTTATAATCTAAATCATCCGGAATATTAAATTGTTTATTAAGTTTTTTTTCAGAAATATCAAACTTATTTTTACACCAACTTTGAATACCGAAAATATTATCTGTCCATACGTTAGCAGCTTCTTTATAAGCCTACAAAACAAAATATTTGTAAATTTCAATCAAATAAACATAACGTTTAATAATTTGATACCTCTGCTTTTTCCTTAAGTTTAGCTGTAACTTCTGGATCGGCATCACTAAATTTAGCAATTTGAGTTTTCAATTGATCCTCGTTTGCCTTTAGCTCTTCTATTTCATGTAAGAGAACTTGTCGTTCTTCTGTATTTTCCTTTCCTATCTACATGTGCCATGTGAAATATTATATAAAATATAAGAAAAAGTACAACGATGGTTTGTTTAAAAAAATTCAATTTTGTTTCAAACTTTAAACATATAACAATGGTGTGTGTGTGTGCTGTGTTATTCTTATTACCTGTTCTTTAATACAAAGTTCTTTCAGTCTTTGAAGTTTAAATTCTGCCTCTACTATTTTTTTAGAAGCTTCCGATATTCTTTGCTCTATAGCAGTTATGTTTCCACTACACAAGATATGTTTTTATTATCTCATAAATAGTCAATTTTTTATAATAGAATCAATAAATGGAAAACTTACCCTGGAAATGTCCAGAAATATACAGAAGTACCAATTTTCTCTGATCTTACTAATCCATCATCGACTAATGCTTCAACTATATCTTTCACAGATTGTGTTACAATGCCTTTTTCTTTTGGTGCTATTTTTTCTAATTCTTTTAATGTAAAAAATTCCCTTTTTTCATAAAATATTTGAAGCATTCTTGCACGTTTCTCATCAAGAGAAACTCCTTTTCGCTTCGACATTTTACCTGTGTAAATGACAAAATAAAACTATTACATTAACAATTATTTATTATATTTTCAGTGATGCAGCTATGAAGGAATTCCTTTTACATCTGGATGAAACTTTTGCCTTAGGACGAAAATTTATAATTCAAGATTTGGATGAAAAACACTTATTTATTTCTGCTGATATCTTAGATACATTACAAGCAAAAGTTGATGATCTTATGGATCAAATATCATTTCCTTTAGCAGAAAAAGGAATATAAATATTACATAAGAAATATTTCACCTTCACTTTGATTCTAATTTAGAGATATATATCAAATAACACATTATGGCAGCACGGGAGTCTGGTAGAATAAAAGATGCATATCAAAAGCGAGTACTTGATGAAGCTGCTCGTAAACGCAGACAGAAAAAAGCATTGGAAGCTTTGGAACAAGACAATTTTCATGATGACCCACATGCAGATTTGGGTATATACATAACATACTTCAGAAAATTCAATTTGTGTAAACATTATAGTTTAAATATAAATTATTTAAATTGTTTCAGTAATGAGCAAAAAGGTACCAAAATTTCAAGAAACACTAGACACCAGAGGCGGTAGGAAGAAAAAAACTAGGTCAGCTGAATATTATAAGCAACGGTTTAGAAAAACCTTTGCTCAATTAGTAGAAGAAGATCTTAATATTAATCCAAATTCTCCAAATTATGTCTCTGCTCAAGCACCACCATCACGCTTTCCTGAACGCCACTTTTGTGCAGTTTGTGGATTTCCTAGTAATTATACTTGTATTCCTTGTGGTGCTAGATATTGTAGCATGAAATGTTTAGGTACTCATCTCGATACAAGGTGTTTAAAGTGGACAGCATAATGAGAAAATATATTCTTTGTACAAACCGATTAGCGAAAAAAATTTGTAAGTAATTCAGCATTAAAGATATAGTAGTCAAAATATTATTAAGTTTTTGTACTAAAAATTAAAATTTTTGCAAGTTAAAAAAATAATATTATTATACATATATCATCAGACAGTTATTGTAAATATAATAGTTCTACCTATAATAAGATCTGTATGTGAAATAAAGTTAATTATTTTCCTACTAACAATTAGTATTTTTTTCCTAGTTGGTATGTAGTGAAAAAGCAAATGAAGTTATAAACACAAAGTAATAACAATGTATTTTATATTATTAGATGTGTGAGAACATACCTGCAATTATGAACTTAAATCGTTTCTGGAACAAAAATGTTAATTAATATTATTTCTTGCTATTTTCTTTCTTGCTTCATGTTCACAATATTGAATGGATAATAGAAGACTCGAATACAACAACTACCGTTGTTCCAATACTAACAAAATAACATATCGAAATTGAACAAATAGGTTATGGCATAGCCAATCAAGAACGAAAAAATTGGAAATGGACCACCTGTCAAAACTAAATAAGATTCGCAGCCACTGATCTCTAAGCACGTGTGTGTACCTTCAAGTTGGTTGCATATATTGGATGTGGCGGGAACGATTATTCATTTAATAAAAACAACATTCGCCCTCTGGTGGATTCTAGAAGAATCTTTGATGTGTGACGAAAGAGACAGGTATAGAAAAGTAGGAAGACGTCTAGTGGAAGGACGTGTGATCATTCAGAATTATGTGAAGTTTAAAGTCGTGAACACAATCTTAGTTCCGCCTAATACACGGACGGCTTCGAACGGAATTATATACGTGAAAGTGTTGCGATCTTGAGCACATTGTATTGTGTTGTTTTGAAGGGACTGGTTATCATATAGGTTACAATAATAGATAGGCATGTAAAATGTCATAGATGTAACATTTGTAAAAGAAGAGTGGCTAATAAATTATTCTCCTGTTATATCCAATAAATGTACGTATGCCTCGTATGAGTTGTATTTTATGATTATTTCGATAGTTGAAAAAGTCGATTCCTAAAATGTAACGAACTTTCCTCATGCTACTTAGTGAACGCATTATTAATTGATATCTCGTAGCTGTGTTCAATCAGGTAGAAAACTATCTAATTTCACTCTATTAGTAATCGTTTCTGTTAATATTACATTTTCAAAGGACCGACGAACAATATAATTTGTTGATAAAAGCGCGAATTTGGAACATTCAATTTTCACAAACACATTGTGCCCTCTACCGATATCAACCAATATTGTAACGCGACATTTGAAAATATCCGCGCGAAATATCTATTGGAATTTAGTTTACATTTCAATTATCTAAAAGCGCACGGACAGACAGCATCATTATGTTATTCAGTGCCATGTGAATTAACCTGTGATATAATTAATACTAAGTTAAAGAATGCGGATGTATGAGCGAAAAGGAACAGTTGAAGGTAACACTGTGTTTACGAATAGATTTATCGAAATAGTTAGAAATAGAAAATTCTCTTGTGAACACTACATTCGCATATTTTCTACTGGAGGTAACAACGAGAGTTAATTAAAAATATTTATGATTTTATAGCTACTAGTATATTTGCTTTTAGCAAAACCTTTTTTGTTTTAAAGTAAATCCATACATATTGATATTGAGAGAAATCAATGCTTAATTATTTTTTGTAAAAATGAAATACAAGACATTTTATTTTGATGAGTTTCTATAATTTCCTTAAATGTAACTCGGTGAATATTAGGCTGTAATTGTTGCATGAACATTTTTTCAAGTTTCTTTTACGTTCCACTCTGTTTTACCAACGCTAACGTGTCGAAAAGATCACATGCACTATAGTACCTGAAAGAAGGAAGTTCTTTTGGAGATATATGTATACACATACACGATATCCCACATTATACATATGTATACAGCCATTGTGCTAATGCAACATTACCGTAATTCCTAATATTCGCAATATGTCTGTAATGTCCTGAGTTTTCTATATCCATTGGTATTTGTATTTATAGGCGGAAATAAAACAGCCGAAGACAATTAGAGTAAGCTTCTATGTGTAACCGTTGGAAGTGGGAGTTCGTAACGAAGATAAGATCTTTGCGAACGGTGCAACTCTTTAATTGCAGAAGTTAATTACTGCGTGCCGCACGGTGCAATAACGATGACGACTTTAGACTCGCAGTCCGATAAAACATTATGTCACCTCGACAAGGTTCCGAACACGGAATTTGCGGAAACATCGTCCGATTGTGGATTCCACGATACGATCAGTTTATTGGAGACTCAGGTAGCCGGACATCCGTCCAATGACAAACGACGTACGATCGGTAAGCAACCGTTTAAATTAACACTAGTATTATAGGTGACTCATATTCACCGATATTAAGTTCATTTGTTTTCCTAAAGTTCATACAGCATAAATAAATCATGCATTCATACTTGCTTCTGTGAACCTCTGAAACAAGAATTTGAAAATCTTCAATATGAAAAAAGTCACACAGCTTTTAAACAGGAAAGCGATTATAGGCTACCCTGTATTTCTATATCGGGTCCGAAGGAAGATTAGCTCGTTGGTGGCTGCGCCGGTCATATATGGCTGGAGCGATTCTTAGGTCATTTTTAAAAATAAATTTCCGTTGTGATATATTTACATAAATATAATCTCATTAGAATTTATATGAACTGAAAAATAAGGATATAACTTAACTTATGTACTTTACTGTCATTTTCTGCTGTAATCACTAAGTAATGATAATCACTAACATTATTCCTTGTCATTGTTTACGTTTGTTTGAGATATTAGCCGTTATAAAATTAATACGGAATTAATCGCATGTAGATATAGTTTAATAAAATGTAGTAAAGACTCTTCAGAAAATTAGATTTATGAAGACTGATTAGTTATGATAAAGTAACATCAATCGAATTGTTTTAAGTTATAATTTCTTGGTAAGTCTGTTGGCAAAACACGTTCGAGGAAGAGAAGTTGAAATTTGTATCATTAACTTGGCTATATTTACTGATTCGATTAGAAAAATACTAGTACAAAGTGTGTACCACTTCTTTCGTTATTTACTTCCGACGCCTTCCGTTATAACCGGAAGTTCGTCACGAGTTTCAGTTTAACGATGGTGTAACTTCAATTTCATCACCAATTGTTAGTATCAAGTTCCGAAGATAACTTGACTGTTAGCTTGTATGCAGCTTATATACAACTTCCTCTAAGAAGAGAAATACGATACAGAAAAGTATTAAACCATTTTGATAGAGAACGCCAGTCAATGTGTTACATTAAAATTTACGTATAGTTAATCCAATTAAATTTTTATTATTATTATTTTAAATGTTCAATTTAGTCTCTAATAATTGTAAATGTACAATTTAGTGTTTACTAATTTTAAATATATAATTTAATCTGCAACAATTTGAATATCAGAAATGAACGAAAATTGTTTCGAATGATACATGGTGAAGAAAATTGTAAATAAGAAAAAACTCTTGTAATTCAATAATTATTTTAGATTAATCAATAGTACAGAGAGAGAAAGGTCTGCCACTTCATTTTTAAGTTACAGCTTTTGTTTGTATTTGCTCAACGATAAGCATCAAATTTTTCCCTCTTATTAACTATCAGTCTCATTCGATTAATCTTGTGTCGGACACGTGAGCGACATGTGCCACCCACTATACATATAACTCTTTCCTGATTATTTTTCATAATAAATATTTTTTGTCCCATTCAAATCCTCGCATATATAAAATACATCCTGCTATCTTGATTATACATTCCATGACTAATGGGAATAAGAAAATTAATTTAGTAACAGATTTTCAGTTAGATTTCGCTCAGAACTTGGCACAATCTACGAACGTAGTAGTATTTGTAGTAAGAATATAATAGTAAGAAATATTGCTTCTGATTGCGTAAAAGAAACTCGTTTTAACAGACTCCAATAAAAGGAGTCATGCATGTTTAATTTACAAATGAAGTATAGGTTTTCTCGCAATCGTCTTGGTTGGTGACTGATTTAATGACGTAAGATATGGCGATTCTCGAATAAGAAAATTGAACGAGTTTGAACTATTTATACTTCGCAAATGTACAGTACCTATTGAACGCAACCAGTATGTTCTAGCTATTGCTCGTTAAGCGATTTATCAAATGACTCCGACTGTGATCCGGCACTTGAAAGGCTATGCCCCGCAATGTATCTATGTCTAAACAAAAAAAAAAGACGCGAAACAGTTTTTATGTATTTTTCTCTAGATACATACTACGATGTTCGCTCGACGACACAAGGAGATTAAATAAACCGTTATTCAGATAATCTGAAGCTATACTTCTAGTAACGCGTATTGTTGGTAACAACAACTTGTTTGTAACAAGCCAGTTTGGTTGTATTAAAATTTACTTTAAATGTACTTCACCTAAAATTAGTCCGATGACGTGCGTGGTTTAGTTGGAATATTCTGATTGAATGAGACTGCATTACAGAATTATTTTCTGACGCTCAAACGCTTATACATATGAATAGTCCACGTGTTAGATGGGAATTGATGACGAATAGTCAATAAGAATGGATCATCGTCAGTCAATTTCTGTATATTGAATGCAAGGTCAAGCGTTGCTATTAACGTGAAGTATTTATGTCTTTGTTACATAATTACATTAAATACATGTTTTACTGAATCATTTTTCTGTTTAACGTTAAAACGCGGTCAATGACAATACCTATTGGCTAAAATAATAATTTTCGTAATGATTTTATTAATAATAATTTTTATAATTTTTAAAACAATTTTTATAATTTTTAATATTTTTTGTTACACTAAAGGCTAGAGAACCCGTATATGTAAATAAATTCTAAATTCTAAAAGCAAATATTGCTTTTAAAAATTAATAAGATACCACAACATTCCAACCGTTTTGTTTGACAACATCTCACAAATTTTCAAATTTTCTGATTTTTCAAAATTTTGTGCACATTCTGTATAGCGTTGATGCATTTCTATCAGTTTAGTCTAGAACTTGGTAAATGTCTAGTATCAAGATTTTGAATGCGTTTCTTTTTGACGTCAATTTTATGATGTTTGTCCTAAGATTACGAAGAAAATATTTATCTAATCGATTCGGAAATTTGATATTATATCTCTTACGTCTTTTTCTACGATATCTGTACATCTAGTTTTTCTCTTATTAGGATCTCCGAAAACATATTTTTTGCGAGAATTTTATTTCTTGTCTCGAGAGTTTATCTTTTTTTAACGCTTGGAGTACATACTTCTGAATAGCTTGTCCAAGAATTTGCTAGAATTTGTTAACAGGCTCGTAGCATTTATAATTCAATATACTTCAAACAACACCTTAAAATCAGTCGAGGTTTGTGATATTTAAATTGATTATAACTTGGTCATTAAACACTCTATGTAACGATAAGTTTAAAGATGTACATATTAGGATTCGTAATGAGTAAGCAGTGCAGCAAACATCAATTTGTACAAATTTAACTAGTTCCTTGTTTCTTCTAAAACGACATTGTTATCCGATAAAAAACTAGTGAATGAATCATATATCCAGTCTACAAGATAAAGTATAACGAGTGCGGTATTTTAAAAAATATAAAGAAATAATATATGTGGTCAATGTGTAGTCAATGTTTAAGCATTGTTGGATCTAGACCTTAAAGCGATTAAGTAATTGTATTTTTTAATTTTTAATAATACCTGAATTTGTCGTGCGTTACAATAAATATTTAGTTATGTGTGTTGTGATTTTATTCCTCTTTAATCGATTTCATTTATTCGCTGCTTTCGAATTCCAATTAAAATAAAAAAAAAAATAAATGAATAAGAAATAATTTAATTACTATTACAAAAAATTTGTATGCCGTATAATTTAATATAATGTAATGTATGGTTCAGAGATTATTTATTAGTAAACACTTACACGTGACTAAATTGAATGCACAAAAACAATTTTAAAAACATTATCAGTTTGAAATTCTGGGCACATTGTCTTATTCAAATATGATTTTGCGCGAAAATCTAGTTTTAATAGGATCTGGCTGTCTTTTACACCTTTCTTCTTTAATTATTCTTGAATAGTACTGCCCACTGAATATTTATATCTTACATTGACCTTCTTTGTAAAGTTAAATTGTACTCACATTTTGGACTTCGTTGCATCTGGGTTTAGCTAATTTTGCATTATCTTGACCTTCGGCTTTTGATCTTTATTGTACCTATACGGGGTGTTCGGAAAATCGTGGCACAATCGGCAACATTTTTTCATACAGGTCAGCAACACCCCGTATAATTAAACTCTTTACAAATGATCTCCAACTTTCTTTAACTTTCACTTAATATTGTTATTCTAATATCGCATTTTGTTCCCGATTCCTTCCTTCACATATTAAAAGTTAATATAAACGTTAAACTATTCGCAGTGTCTATGACGATATCACTTATGATATTAATTTAATTTTATATTAGTATGCACTAATAAATACGTTACTAATAAATTTGGTTACATTCGAGGTCTGAATTTTCGTCTTAAAATTTTTAAAACCACCATTTGTGTGTGTGTGTGTGTGTGTGCGTGCGTGCGTGTGTGTGTGCGCGCGCTGATACAATATTATCTGCGAAACAAGGCATAAATTTTTAATGCCAAGAAATGCGATATTCTCCTGCTAGAGTTTATAACAAGGACATGTTCAATACTGTTAGCATTGATAAACGAAATAGTGAATTTTTAAAGCTGCCACCTAATATAGTTTATACGATGTAGGAGAAGATCTAAAACTTTAATGTCCTTTTTATAGGAATAGTAACTATATCGATATCCGGCAGATTATTAAACATTAATATTTGATACTATTCAAATCAATTCTTTTCCGAATAACGAATGATGAATAAAGTTTCATCTGTTGTTCGATTAGAATTTTTCAATCGTCTTTCCGCTATGCTATGCGTGCTATCCATTCATGCGACGTGATGAATCGATTTCATTTTTCCGCTTCACTGTTGAACGCGAGAAAAGACTGATGAGGAGGAAAAACTGTCCAACTGTTGACGTTTCATTATTAATTTGGATAGAGTGAGACAGCTAACACACTAGATATCCTGCTAGCCAACGCGTCAGCGCTGGAATTTATTCATTAGTTACGAAGAATGACTAAACGCCTGCTTTTATTTGCTATTCTAAATAATTCTTGTTAGCGCACGTAGATCCATGTAACGTGTAACGCATAAGAAAGCAGAAACCGCAAAATAACGGTTCAACGACTTGTCCGTAACCCGAATTTGCATTGTTGTTGAAAAAAGTTTCCAACCATCTCTTAAAATGTTGCAACGTAAAACCCTACAACCGCATGGTGTTTGACGACTGCGTTTAAATATTTATTTTATTATTTCTAAACGACTTGATAAGGTTGAAATAATGTGTGTCTATGAAATCAGTACGTACATAGATCGTAACGGAAAATTTGCGGCAAGATATATTAGTTTGATAAATGTTTATAGATCATTAAAAAAATTTTGTTTACACCATTTATTATTATTACACCAATTCTTCTGCTTGCGTTAATTTTCACACAAAATGGTCATTTTCTCTCCATTTTCGTTACTTTCACTCCATGAATATAAAAATTCACTAATCTTCCATGCTACACCTGTGTGCAAAGTTTCATTGCGATACAGTCTCGGTGTTGGAAGTCAAGGTTGCTCCGATTTTGGAGGGTACGCTATGTTTCATCTTTATGAATGTTATAAAATGTTTATCGTTCAAAATGTTGTAGGTATGCTACGTAGGCCGGATGGCCGTGTGCTTAAGCCTGTCGTTAAACCATTACTTGGTAAAAGGGAGATCGCATTCTATGAGAGCTTAGAGGAATCCGAAGATCCTGTAATGATGGAGTTGAAGAATTACGTGCCAAAGTACTACGGCACGACAGAGTTGCAAATATTTGGCAAACGTAAGGCATCAGATGTTGCAAATTTCTACGTTGATTTCATCAAGCATGTCTTCTCATACTACTTTCTGCATGGATTTTATAATTGTAGAAGCTCACGTAATATTTGGTAATGATTCTGTAACATCTTCTAACTTCGTGTTTTTGTATGATATTCAAGGAGTAACATTCCTTACGTTGAAAGATATTATCGATGGTATGGCCGAACCATGCGTGATGGATATAAAGATAGGTAGACGAACATGGGATCCTCTGGCCACACCGCAAAAAAGGGCCACGGAAGAATTAAAGTATGCCGAGTCGAAGCGCACTTATGGATTTTGCATAACTGGATTTCAAGTCTATTGTCTCCCTTCTGGTCAGCTAAAAAAGTTTGGCAAACACTATGGCAAAACCCTTGATGCCAAGGGTGTTGTGGAAGGTATATTATACAGTTCAAGTGTTTTATTATTTAGACTACGGATATACAAGTTTTTATTTGAAATATAGTCGACCCCCGTATAATACAACAGTGTTATCACTCAAATTCACGTGCTAAGAAAGAGCACAATGCATTAGTTTCCTTTCATGAATAAATAAACTGCAGTTGCAGTCTATTAGGGTTGTTGTATTATATGAGTGTTCTCGATTTTAATTAATTACAGGGTTACATTTGTAGACGTATCAAATGAGAATTAAGGAGAAAAGTATTGTGATATTTAGTATAACGATGTTGTTGCTAAGCAGTCACTAACAATATGGAACACTTTTGGAAAATTTAGTCCATACAATTTAGCAGTGACCCTTATATTTTCAATTATAAGTTGTTTTTTATTGGTATACTACTAGGAATATATGTAAAAATAATTTTTAGTGAGTGTTAACTAGTATCTGGTTTTTTAAAGTAAATATTCACTTGTTTTTTTTATTTGTATTTATATTTATTTCTACTTTTATGTATGTGCTTATTAGCAGCAAATTTTGTTAGTAAGAAAGGGAAAGGATATTTTAAAAATTGAGATGTTAAAAGTTGTCATAAACTTATTATTTTTATTATTTTTGTGTATAGAATCGATTTTCAAAAGTTGTCTCATATTTTTAGTGATATTTCTGTAGAAGTCGAATCCAAAAGGATGTCAGAAACTCTACGGGCGTATTCTACATTTTATATTTAAGAAAAACTAAAAAATGTAAGAACCTCGACGTTTTAAATATCATTTATAGTAGAGAAGACAAATTTTCTCTTAAATTTGGCATGGCCATATTGAAGTCACTTTATATTTTTCTAAAATATTTGTGATTCAGGAAAATTCGGAAAAAATATTATATTTGATAATTTAATTCACAGTGATATTTAAGAAATTGTGAGTCACATAATGACAGAAATGGTTAAAATAACAGGAAATTAAGATCCGTGCTATTTTTATTATATTTTGGATTATGGATGTATTCCGGTATCTTCCTCTATTTAAATTTTTTAAAATATTCAAAACTTAATTACATAGTTACTGTAGACTGAACATTGCGGTACATCATTTTGATACAGTGACACACAATATTAATTAGGTTTTATAACTTTTAATTTCTTCGTGATAGTATATAAATAATACATTTTACTAAAAAAGAATATAAAGTGACGTTGGCACTATCTCACGAAATTTCGGAGGAAACGATTGCATGCAACGTTTAGTTAGCATTTGAACGTACACGTCAATAGAGTTTTGCTGAAATTTATTTAAATGTTTTATTCGTTAATGAAAGGTCACAAAAATGAAGTGCATAATTTTACAATAGGAAATTTATATACACGGTGAGCTAATAAAATTTAGGCTGAATAAAGCTTTTGAAACTAATTAAGCTGGCGTTTAATAGCTTTTAAAGAAAAACCGTTTCAATCGGTTTTTGTTTCTTTAATTTTTTAATTTTTAGTTTTAATTTCTAGTTTTAATTTTAGTTTTAATTTTTTACTCTAACACCATATATTGGCCAACATTTTTGAACCTTTCATTAATTTTTAGTACAATTATGTTACGTGGCTTTCGTTTTAACTCGCAACTGACATTTTGCAATATAGCCACTAAATATTCATAAATCAATGCAATTGTAATAATTAAATAAGCGCAGCCTTATCTCGACTGATTTATGAAAGGGTCCAAACTTTCGGCCAAATAGAGGATTTTTTCGGGTAGTTATACTTCTCTAGTCATAATACAAAATGCTTGTCTAAGAATTCGATAGTTACGTAAGCATAATTGTCTTGCCCATACATCGTTTATTTAAGGAACAAATGCATAGTACTGTTCACAATTATTTAAATGGTTTTAAACATCCAAATGGACACACTTTAAAATTACAACCGCTTTAAATGCAAGCTTGTAGATTATATTATATTTTGATAACGATATTTATTCTTAATTAATCATCGTTGTAAAAAACGTTTGGCACTTATCCTTCCAGTTTTATTGACGTTTCTTGTTGGCCATCTCATTGCATACTTCCAGTAATTTCTTTGCTTATGCTCCTCATACGAAGTACAGTTCATTTCCTTGATTTTGAAATCATTTTAATTTAATCTTCGAGCAGCCGCTTACGGTTTTGTAACATTATCGGACTTTTCTGGTATCTTTTACGGCAGGTAATTCATGTTTTATCTTATTAACAGACCCCTAATCTCTGAGCAAAATATACATCGAGTATAATTATAGTAAGCTGAATCCACTAAATTATCGATCTTGATTTAACAAAGATAAAAATATAGCAAACTAGATGTCTCAGGCACTTACTTCATCTATATTTTTAACAATATCTTTATTAAACCAAAATCGATAGTTAAGAGGAATGTGGAAGACATAAGCAGCAATAAACAATATTATGACATTTATTTAAATCAGAAAAATGATCTTCTGATTTCAGTTGTGATGGTACAAATCATGCTTTCATACTAACTAGTCTTCTCAAGGTTTCGGAGGTCACCGATGTTTTATTACCTATCAATGAATTTTGGAGTCAGAGGTCACGTTAAGGTCATGTTATTAATATCGTCAAATACAAATCGATGCTATAGACAGGGGAAAGTTTATTTACTGACGAGAAAAACATCGATGACCTTCAATGGCTAGAGGAAGATGACCTTGGTCCAAAAATATTATTTGCAGCCTATTCGTACTTTGATACGATATAAAAATTGCATACAAAAATATTTTGATCATCGTAATCGAAGGAGTATAATAAGAGATTACAGAAATAATAAATGTATTATTAGTCCGTAGCGATGGCTAATCAGAATGCAAAAATATCTGTCTTTGGTCGTAAAAGTGCAATGATAATCATCGAAATTAATCATAGTAATTCCACTAAGTAACGATTTCTGCCAGCAGCGATATTTGAATTTACTTTCCCAAATCAGAGGAAAGCAGAAAACCTCTGCTGAGCCCGAATAATTCTGAACAGTACTATGTATGGGAAATGAACCTCCAGAACACAACACATAATTTGTCTTGATTAAGTACATCGAACAGTCCGTTTTTTTCCTGCGTAGCGCTGAAATTGTTCCTGAACATAAGTCCAGAAAGACCGCCTTGCCGTCAATTGATCGTGCAGCTTCTCTCTTTCCTGTGGAAGATCTTACTATTCTTTCGTACCCAGCGGCTGTTCCGCTTTTATTCTAGTTCTCTGTTGGTGGCATATGACGCGAAAAAATTGCGAAATTACTTGCACCCGAATAGCCTGAACATCGACAAACCGGCCAATTCGTTCTCCACCGGGATCAATCACGCGACCGTGACGAATGTGTTCAAAGATGCGACCGAGGTCAGCCGCGACCCCGGGACGAGCTTCGTTGAAACAGATAGAAAAGATAGAAACCAGACGACCGAGAGAGTACACTACATCAAACGGAGTATCAGTTTGAGCACCGAGTGCGAGTCTACGGGTAAAGAAAATCCCATGAACAGAAGCGTATCCTGCAGTTCCGATTTCAGAGCGGACAGGCTCTGTCGGACACACTCCTATGGGCACAATTACGAGGACGATATCGTCCAGGTGAAGAAGGATTACGACGCCTTGCTCAGCGAGCTCAGCATCTCTTCAGAGGAGAAGCTGAACTGGGTCCGGATCAACATGATCGATTTCACCCATGTCTTCCCGACCGAGGACCGGAACACGCTCGATGTAAACTATCTAGAGGGCATCGAGAACTTGATCAAGCTCGTCGAGATGTTCTTGATCCCTAAGGACAGCACTGCATAATTCTGCTTACTGTAACGTAGAGTCTACGTCGTAGACCGTCGATGTTACAGAGCCTTCGTTCTTTTAATTTACTTTCTCTTGGAATTGCAACATGACGTGTTACAAAACTGTATTTTATATTTTGTAATTAAATTAGATTGTTTATCATTAGAGAGCCAGTTAGAACTGCAAACAGATGTGATTCGTGTTAATGTCCATCGTTGCCGCGCGAATGGAATCGCGAACACGAGGCGGAAGCTCTCGGTTGTACCTTGTTTGATAGGATCTAGGTAGATCCTCGTTAACGTTATGTCGGACTTCCGCGGACGATTTTCGGTACCTGAAATTAACACGACAACGACACACATACCCGCGTCAACCAAGCGTTAACCGTTTCGTATCAGATGCAACGTCTGTGTCACGCTCACGTTCCTTCGATGTACCTCATTTGTCGCGGTTTTGCGTACTATTTTACTTTGACGGCCAGTGTCATGTATGCGTGATCTTCGTTCGCACCTCTTACCAGCGTTCTGTGTCGGCTCGGTGTCACTCCTTCACACGTGTTCACGGAGTACACCCGTCGATTTTCATTGTAAATACTCATACCACGACATTGGAATTAACGATAGTTTTACTAGTTTCAAAACGTCAAGTATATGTATTCCAGTAGCTTTATCAGATAAAGAACAGTGTTTGCAGCGATTGGCGGCGGTATGCTAAAGGATTTCCTGTGAGAAGCGCGGCCGTCAAAGTGCTAACGTCTACACGCCCACCGGTTTTTGATTTGAGCGAACATTAACACTAATTCTACCGAGCGCTAAAAGTGCCTAGTTTATATTACTTTGCAAATGTAATCAAAACTTGTTTATTTAGTATTTTGTTTCGATGTATGTCCATGGAGAACAATTTATTTAATACTTGCCCATAAATAATCTAAATGATTAGAAAATAAGAAATGTGAGATTTGTGCCATTTTGATCGGTACGGTAGGATTAATGTTAATAAGAGCTACGTGTTTGTTGTCTACCCGACAACTGCTGTAGACGATTGTACGCACTGTTTCCTATGTTACGGTCGTGCAAGTAAGGTTTTATCATCGCATATACCAAACATAAAAATTGTTATGTTAATATAATACAAAAAATAAAAGCGTTATGTAAAACGAAATAGTTTTATTCACGACCTTGTGCAGCTAGACGAAAATAAGTGTTAACAGATTTCTTTCATTTCTAGAATATCAGACGATCATCTAAAATATTTATTAAAATATCACGTGTATTGAGATACTTATTTGCTTACATATTTAATATGATCGTTTGCTAGCTTGAATAAGTAATAAATTAATAAGTATCGATGCACGAAATATTACCTTAATATGCTGTTGTGGAGAGGAGTAATCCATGCAATTGGATGAAAAAATTCGTGATTGTATATCTGAAAAATGTGAATGTATACAGCATTCTTAATTAAGTTTCGATGAATATTTTACGGAGAATATTAAACCGTTCAGCGCCCATTAAAATAAGAAAGTCTAGTATAAAGTTAGTATAGATATTAGGAGTTGATTTACAAAAGCATCTTACTTATCAGCGTAAGCACTGTTTTGATGTGACATTTATGAAAATTTCTTATGTATTTTAAAAACTGTTATATGAATAATAACTGTATTCTGCATAGAGTAGCTTGGAATATACGAGGAATACTCTGCTGTACCGTAAAAGCAAAAAGAAAGGTGAAATAAGAATTAAGGTAATGGGAAAGCTGGCAAAATCGAACTCGAAGTCTAGCAAAAAATTTAATAAGCGTGGTACATGTATCCATCGTTTCAGGAACATTAACGAAACAAGTTGGACTTCTTACTGGGGCTCTATATCTTTTTTCTCCAACAAGCCAATGGACCATTTCGAGGACAGCTATCGACGCTTGATCAAAACGACCAGCCTTGTAATTACCGTGATCCGATTTCACAAGACTTGTACGCGCATGTTACCTAAGAAATCGACATTTAATTTAATAAACGATTGATTTACGCGTTACACAATATTATATCGATACAGCACCATCAACTTTCTTGTGTGTCTAATGAGCATATATTTCAAATGTGCAACTATGAATTTATTGTAGTTGTTGCAAGTACAAAACTTCGAGAGAAAGTATTTTTCTTGAACTTCAATGCGAAGAGAATTTGCCGAGATAGAGCAGAAACGAAAAGATCAAAATTCAAGTGGGTTAACTTTGTATGCATAATAAAACCTAAAATATATTACATTTTAATATTAAAAGAGCAAAAGTTAAGCCATTATCGTGGAACATTATTTGCATACTTTATTGAAAATTAAATAGTAATTTAAGAGTAAACAATTTTCTTGCTTTTTCGTGAGAATTGTATAAAACAAATAAGTAAGTTGTAAAATGTAAATTGGCTTGGAATAATATTATAATATTATTAATACGCTGATTAGAGGAAACAACAATAGAAATTATATTTCTGCATTAATATTTCATTTATTTAAGGACACCTAATTTGGTATATTTTCTTCATCAACAACAAAATAACTTTCTTGGTCCTACAATAACGGATAAGAAAGTTCGATCAAACACTTCTTGCCAAGGATACACTGGTTTTTTGTACAGTCGACATTGGCCTCCTTATGTTTTCCGTTGCATCGTGACAGCTTTCTTTCTCCTATAGAAGTTTCTTGTCAATAATTTACAGACTGCGATATAATATCTCCAAAAAATACTCGATATAAAAAGCCGAGAACTTAGAACAAAATATTTTCGCTTAAGTCAACGTTTTAAACTGACTTTTCCAGAATACATGGTATTATTTTCAGTGTGAAATAATTACAATTTTGTGTGGGCAAGAGTATTTCATTATAAAAAAAGTAAGAATAATGAACTTAATCACGAAGTGCTGGAAATATGAAAAATGACATTAGGAAATTTAATTGAAAAAATTGTATTGGCTGCAGAATGTTTACAAGAACCAATGAAAATCATGTTCATATACATGCTTCCAAATGAAATAACTTTTCATTTGTGACCGATGATTTTCAATAAACGTGTTTCTCAAGTAAAACACCGGTGCTTATAACGATGATGAACAGAAAACTTCTCTGTCAGTAAGTTTATTATAATCAATTGTGTAACTTTCTTCAGTATAATATGCTAATGTAATAAATAAAGTTAAAATAAATGTTAATCAGACGCAGTATGTTACATGCACACCTCGAGTACATTTCAAATACAACATTGACTCCAGACAATACACGCACAGATAATCCAGTTTTAACACTTTTTTTATTTACGTCCATTTATATATTTACAAACTCGAAAACACCGATCTGAAATTCTCGAATATGGAATAGAATACTTTCGAACTCGTTTTAGGAGATTCGTTGCAACGATCGTTGGGAATAAAGCCAACTTTTCGAGTCAACTTTATCGTTGCTTTTTCAAATTTCAATTAGTATCACGTGGACTTACATAGTGTAATCGAGAAATCAGAGGAAAATTCAACATTGTGCGGTCGCAAAACATCTCGGTTGCATTACGGTTTAATATAACACCACTTCTCATTCGAGTTGTACCTTTATGCCCTGAATTATATGTCACTTCGCTATCTCTGTTTCATGTAATATTTATTACAACGGAATATTTTTCAGACGAGATGTAGTCAAATTAATTGCAAACGTCTTTTACAATAGTTAAGTGTAAATGTGGAGTTCAAATGTAGCTGAATCAAATTTATAATAACTGTATTTGGCTTATAGCAGCATTTTAAATGAAAATAGTACACTTCAAAATATCTTCAGGACATAAAGGGTTAACGTACGGTCACATTAGCGTTTTTATAACAGACGTTATGTTTGATAATGTTGCAACGGATACGTCGGATTGCAAACGTTGCAACGTTCCTACTTACATCTATCGATGTAGTTATTCTTATATTTTACATATTTGGCTGGGTGTGGCTATACGAACGTTGAATTCGGTCCATTTTTCATGAATCTTTATTTTCTTTCGATAAAGCATATGTAATTAATAACAAACTGACAGTAAACAAAATGAATTTCCGTTTATCGATCTATATAATTAATCTTCAAACGTCTATCGATTTTTTCGTATTCTTATATGAAAAACGTAATCGTTTGTTCAATAATTTACTTTCTAAGATGAAGATATAATTTCAGCAACTCAACGTTGACTGTAAAATACAAACAACATCATAGATTTAGGCAACTTCTTTATAGTACAACATTTCTATATAAACAACGTTATCTTTCCAACATAGAGAAAAGCATAAAAATAGAGTTCAACTTTGTAACAATATAAGATACGTTAAGATCTCTTAACATGAAATAAGTAGCAGATTTCTTGGTAAAAGTGTCAATTAAGTTGAAAAATATTTGCAGAATGAAATGCTTATTATACAAATTGTATGTTATGCGAACATATGTATACTCGATAATGAAGAAAAATTTTAACGCAAATTAATTAACATTATTGCATATGTTTACGCATAACAATACATCATATATTTAATAAACATATCATTTATTACAATTACGAAAACAAGGAGACGTGTGAACAGTATTTTATTAGTGTTTGAAATTCAACTGTATCATCTGCGTTAGTTCAGTTTCCCATAACACAAGTTGACATGGCACAACTTCTAGAAATAACTCCGCGTAATAACGAAGTTACCTGTACAAAAAGATCGCTATTTCGCCACGATCAATCTTCATCATGCAGACATCTATTATTTATTCATTTGTGAGAGAAATAAGGGATGACAAAACCAACGTTCGCTCAACACCAGCCACAAGCTTCATTAAAACGATCTTCACGGTGACGACGCCCGTTACTTCAACGTTTGCGCGACCGTAATTTGACAAGTGATATTTATCAGACGTTAAATTAGTTTTGAAACATCAATCTTTGGCAGTTATAATACTCGATAACGGTCTATAAGATCCATGGAGGAAGGTATAAGAGCCGTTTACGTGAAAATATTAGATCACTCAAGAAAATAGCGTAGAAGAGGTCCCAAACAGCTCTGAAAATGAATATAAATAACTTTCATTTCTGTATCGCAATTGAATTGAAAAATCAATTTACATATTAACTTTAAAGTATAAATGTACTATAAAGTACTATAATATATACTATTATAAATACATTTATGAAGTATACATTTATTGGATTCGAAATTGTGTTCCATTTTCTATACACGCGCAGAAATTTCTACGACGACACAACGGAATGGCGTAAATGTTTTTTGGAAAATCAAATAAAGACATGTTTAAAAATTATTCGACAACATTTCGACTTGCTCCATCGTGGTCATGTGTAATGAACGCACGAACTGTTTTATTCCATGTATGTTGCAAACGTTCTGAATTAACGAATTTATAATGTTCAATTATTTTATTAAAGAGAAATTATTTTATAAAAGAAAGTTACCAATATTCATGTGTAAAACCGTATGTAAGAAAAATTGAATGCGCCCAGGATGGTTCTGAACCATACTCGTTACATTTCTTAGGACAATTTAGTCTTTCTTACAATTTCCAATCGTTGTTTCAAAACTAATTTCACGTCCGGCGATGTTTTTTGCAAAGAGCGGAAGCCGAAACAAATTTGGGCGCGATTCTGCTAGAAAAGAGGCCGTTAAGATGCCAGGATAGGACATTATGTGATTACAAAGCGAGTTTCAAGTTCCATTCTAAAACAATTGGCACGAATCAGCGAACTAACAGTGTTGATCGTTCGTCTTCAGGTTCGCGTTACATCGCAGACGTGGCTAGGCTAAACTTGTGTCATTTCTGGCAGTTATTTACGGGTAACATCAGCGTGACGATTAGACTGCGGATCTATGTGCATCATAAAAAAATGATCCGCATCGAAAGAATAGTCTAAGAAAAACTAAAACTCGTCATTCTGAAATTCTTCAAATCTTTCGGCTGTTTCAAATCGCGGGAACCCTCATAAATGCGTAAAATCCGCAGTCTAGTATATTACGGTTACCTTTTCGGCAATGTTACTTTCTTTAGTGTTTTACAGTTATGTTTCCTTTCTTTAGACGACGTAAATATATAACGTCGCCTATATATATATATTTTTTATGTAGGTGTGTGTGTTTTCTGTGTATAATATATAAA